ACACACACACACACACACACACACACACACACACACACACACACACACACACATTCACTCAAGCACAAACACACACACACACACACACACACACACAGACACACACACATTCACTCACTAACTCACTCAAAACACACACCCACCCACACACACACACACACACACACACACAAACTCACACACACACACACACACACACACACACACACACACACACACACACACACACACACACGCCCTCTGTCAGCTGACTTCTGGGAAACTTTGTTTTTGTTGCCATTTAAAGTTCCTGTTGCTAAGGCAAGGCAGAACAGTGGCAGCCAATCAGCTCTCAGCAGGAAGTGGAGAGGCATGAGTGCGATCTGTGGCTCCGACGTTCGACAGCAGCTCTGGAAACTTCACATCACCTCCTCATTCATTACCCATGAAGCCCTGTGCATGTGTGTGTGTGTGTGTGTGTGTGCAGACAGCTGGAGTTTCTCATGTAATGGCTGCAACTGTCTGAAATTCCAAGCACGCAGTTTAACACAAAGTCCGCGGTTGCAGCGGGTGTGGAGGCTGAAGTACACGGATCAGCTCGAGACACGTCCTCTTTCAGACCAGCGCACCACACACACACCACACACACGCTCAAGTTTCTGTCATTGCACTTAAACTGTAGGTTTCAATCTGTAAAGTCGGTGAGTCGATCAGAAATCACTTTACAAACACCAAACATTACAGTTTTATTCATATCTATATTCTGAAGGGTAGTTTAGATATCACTCACCTGATTTATACATTTCACTCCTAAAAACATGATGAAAATGTATTGTTGATTTATGATTAACAGAGAAATCCAACACTTGAACTCTAATATGTTGACAACATCAAACGAGAATTTATCCAGTGTTCTAATTTCAGTTCTGAATATGTATGCAAATGAGTGCATATTTGCCTCATTTGCATATTAAACATACAAAAAAATACCAAACAATTGTCTTGATGTCCGATGATTAATCAGCGAGGGAATTATGGTTTTAATTATGTTTTTTTATGGTTTTAATTTCTATTATTTCACCTCTAATGGCGTCAGTAGAACTTTATGAAACATGAATGACTTGTGTTGTTTCATAATTTAAAACCTCTTCTCATTTGAATATTTCCCAGCGGATATAATTATTGACAGGTAAAACTAAACAAACAACAGGAGCAAATAGAGAGCCGCGAGCAAACAGGTTATATAAGCCGAGCTGACGGGGGAAGGGCCGTTCATCATGAACTACTTCCTGTTTTCATCCCTTTGATCTGAAGTTCAACCACAGAGAGAGAGAGAGAGAGAGAGAGAGAGAGAGAGAGAGAGAGAGAGAGAGAGAGAGAGAGAGAGAGAGAGAGAGAGAGAGAGAGAGAGAGAGAGAGAGCTGACAGACACACAGATATTCTCTATATGATGTTTGCTGCTGCTGTCCGTACTCGAGGAAATACTGGAGTCTATCTAGTAACACACACTCACACACACACACACACACACACACACACACACACACACACACACACACACACACACCGGCCCTTAAGAGAACAGCCAGAAACATGGAGCGCAACTGGAAGAAAACTAAACTAGAGGTTTATCGCATTTCATGGAAAGACAGCATTATTGCGTACAGAAAGGCCTTAAAGACGGCTAGATCTGCTTATTTTATGTCTCTCTTAGAAGAAAACCAACACAACCCGAGGTATTTATTAGAATTAACAAGAAATAAAGCTTCAACTTCTGAAGTTTCCAAGCAGCACAGCAGTAATGACTTTATGCCCTTCTTTACTTACAAGATTGATAATATCAGGGAGAAAATTATAAGTATGCACCCGTCTACTACAGCATTGCATCAGGCAGTGCAGTGTAGTCTCCCTGAGGAAAACTTCCATTCATTCACTGCTATAGGAGAGGAAGAATTGTCTAAACTCGTTAAATCATCTAAATCGACAACATGTATATTAGACCCTATACGGACTACGCTACTGAAAGAGATGCTTCCAGAGGTCATCGATCCTCTTCTTAATATTACTAATTCATCTTTGTCTCTAGGATATATACCGAAAACTTTTAAGCTGGCTATGATTAAACTGCTTGTTAAAAAAACACAACTTGATCGTACAGAATTAGTGAATTACAGGCCGATCTCGGCAGTATCCTCACAACTGTGTTCCTTTCTAGAAAGAAATGATATCTGTGAGGATCTCCAGTCCGGGTTTAGACCGTACCATAGCACTGAGACCGCTCTCATTAGAGTCACACATGATCTGCTCTTATCATCCGATCGTGGTTGTATCTCTCTATTAGTGTTACTCGATCTTAGTGCTGCATTTGATACTATTGACCACAGCATTCTTTTAAATAGACTCAAAATTTATGTTGGCATTAGTGGAATTGCAAAGCATGGTTTAAATCACACTTATCTGACCGTTATCAGTTTGTAGCAGTAAATGAAGAGATGTCTTATCGATCACAAGTCGGCCGGATCCAGATCAGATGCTGGACCTGCGCCTCGACTCGGCCACATTGACCGTGAAGTGTCAGCAGAGACAGGGTCTACTAGACTCTCCTGTGAAGGCCTCGGCGGCACCACAGAAGGCTTTCCTGTGGACTTTGAAGCCTATTTCGATTCTTACAATGGAAATGAATCAATCAAAAACTTGCTAAAGCTGGACAGTGACTTTCCTCTAGATCTGCAGTGCAGCCGAAACCAACTGTGTTGCATTATATTCCTGTTATCACTGTGAAGCTGCTTTGAAACACTCTGTAATGTAAAAAGTGCTATGTAAATGAAGGTGACTTGACACACACACAAACAAGCACATACACACACACACACAAACAAGCACACTCACACACAAACATAAACACACACACACACAAACAAACAAGCACACTCACACACAAACATGCACAAACACACACACACACACACACACAAATACACACACACACACAAACACGCACACACACAAACACACACACACAAAAAAGCACACTCACACACAAACATGCACAAACACACACACACACACAAATACACACACACACTCACACACACACACAAACACGCACGCACACACACACACTGGTTTCACTGCACTGGAAGTTTTCTCAGAAATGTTTGTGGTGTGTTGTTGATCTGCTGTGACACGAGCGCTGAGTGTGTGTTTCTTACTCAGATGACGCTTCATATTCGCTTTTATATTATATATGAGGAATAAATTAGATTTCCTTCCCTACAGCTTGCATCTTGCAGGTCTTTAAAAAATGCGAGTGTGTTGTTGTGCAGAGCTGCTGTTGTGTGTGTGTGTGCGTGTGTGTGTTTATCTCATCTCATATGCTGTTAACCAGAGATGCTGAAAGCAACACATCAAAAGCAATGTTGTTCTATATTTGCTGACTTGCACAGTAAGGCAGAGAAATCATCAACTCACTGAACCAGATGAGAGAAACCACACACACACGACCCACTGAGATGATAAATGTCACACTTCTGCTGTGTGTGGTTAGTGCTGCACCGGAATCAACAAACACACACTCAGAGACACACTCACTCACACACACACATTTTTATGATTTGTTTCATTTTTGTTTGAAAATGTATTTATTTTCAGTATTGATTCAGTTCAGTTCAATAACTGTGTAAAAGTCTTATGTTGTGCTCATACTGTCGTGCACATGTGTGTGTGTGACACTCCTATCTAATGCACACTGAAGCTAAAGCCACAGGAGTGTGTTTAACATCCGTCACATCTGTGTGTAGTGTGTGTGTGTGTAGTTACTACACAACAATAGCATTTTTAGAAGAGTTAATAGTCTTGAACGAGTGTTAGCTGTGTGATGTTGAGCTGCGTGTGTTTTGAGAAATGGAGCCACAGTTCAAACACTGTGTATAAACATTTTTGGAAAAACTGTCAAATTATGTTTATGTAATGTTTTTTATAATATTATTATTTGAATCAGTCTGGTAATATTAAGAGGAACATTCTCTGAACATCCTTATGTTATTAATATATTTGCTGGATGTTTTTGTAATGTTATTAGAAAACATTGTGGAACATCCATATATTCATTTATTTGAGATATTAATAGAAACAAATATGTCAACAGAAACTTCTTAAAAAAATTCTTGGAATATTAGGCATAACTGATGATGCACTAAACCTTGGGAGGAAACATTTAAACATTATTCTTAGTAAGTTATGCAATCAGAGAACAGGAAACATTCTCAAAGTTATGAAGAAACATTCTTACAGTAACGTCAATAGAGTCTGATAATAGAAGTCTGATAATAGAGTCTGATAATAGAAGTCTGATAATAGAGTCTGATAATAGAGTCTGATAATAGAGTCTGATAATAGAGTCTGATAATAGAAGTCTGATAATAGAAGTCTGATAATAGAGTCTGATAATAGAGTCTGATAATAGAAGTCTGATAATAGAGTCTGATAATAGAGTCTGATAATAGAGTCTGATAATAGAGTCTGATAATAGAGTCTGATAATAGAAGTCTGATAATAGAAGTCTGATAATAGAACTTCAGATCGAGAGACTCACACTAGAGATTCAGTGATCTTGATTTCCAGCTGAATCGGATTTCTGTTTGTCTCATATTTGAAGTTTGCATCATTGATCATCTTATAAAGCACTGTAGAAATAAAGCTGAACTGACTATGTTCAGCACTATATCTATTATAATTTAATTATCAATCAAAGACAGGATTTGGTGAGTTACTCAGTCATTCCCAGAACAGAAGTGAAAGCGTTCTCAAGCTGTGTGAAGTGTTCACTCTTAGAGAACAGAAGCTATGAAACCGGATCCACTCGCTTCTCTTTCCCTGAAGGTCGAGCTCAGTGAAGCCGGCTCATCTTACCCCTCGACCTGGACACTGGCGCTGCAGAACTCGTTCCTGGGGAAGCACACACTCATAAAGCCCTGTCGTTTATTTACAAGGCGAAGCATAATCACATGATGCACACAAAGTTCTTTCAGTATTTGTTTTATTATAAAAAAATAAATCTGAAAAGTCTATAATCTTGGTCACATCTGGCTCGCGAAGAGCCCAATCGCGTGGCGTGAGCAGGCGCCGGCACAGAGCCGGACTGTAGCCGGAGGTTCACTCCGAACGACACACTGGTGCGCGTCAGTGTCGGCGGGGCGGCTCAGCTTGCCCCGGAGCGGCCCGTTCTCACCGCATCAGCAACGCCAGGCCGGCGCCGATCCCCGCGCAGCCGACGACCGCCATCAGCGCGCCGCGCACGCGCGACTCCACGTCCTCCTCCTCGCGGAAGAACTGCACAAACCCTTCCTGGAGAGAGAGAACACACATGAGCACACACTCCACACCGGCTCTGAGAGAACACACACGAGCACACACTCCACACCGGCTCCGAGAGAACACACACACTCCACACCGGCTCTGAGAGAACACACAACACACACAGTCAGTGAGTGAGTGAGTGAGTGAGTGAGTGAGCACACCAGAACAGAGTGTGTTGAAGTGTGTGTGCGCCACAGTATAGTGTGCTGAAGTGTGTGTGCGCCACAGTATAGTGTGCTGAAGTGTGTGTGCGCCACAGTATAGTGTGCTGAAGTGTGTGTGCGCCACAGTATAGTGTGCTGAAGTGTGTGTGCGCCACAGTATAGTGTGATGAAGTGTGTGTGTGCCACATTATAGTGTGTTGAAGAGTGTGTGCCACAGTATAGTGTGTTGAAGTGTGTGTGTGCCACAGTATAGTGTGTTGAAGTGTGTGTGTGCCACAGTATAGTGTGTTGAAGTGTGTGTGCCAGAAGTCCCAGATCGTCTAGTATTCCAGGTGGATTTTCGCAGTGTTTATTTGATGCTATAACGAGAAGGAAGAGATGATCGGTTCACGAGCGGCTTTAACTTAGAGCCACAAAACGGTATTTATCGTTTAAATTTCTTTTTTTTTTTTAAACGAACAAATTTGAAAGTTGATACAATCTGAATCAAAGTTGAATGATAAATACAATCTCCTCAGTGTCCGAAGCACCAGCAGACGTTTCTCGGGATCTTCAGTGACAGAGAACCTGTCAATCACAGCTGTCAATCATGACGTTACACCACTGTTTTTATAGCATCACGCAACTAACTAAAAACAAACTTATTTTAACGTTTATTTTTAGTTAGTCAGTCAACGGACATTTGAACTTACATCAGCGGGGAAAAAACGACAGCAAATGACAGAAACCACCTTTGGAAAAAAGATATTTGAAGTGTAATTAAACTGTTTGGTTGGTCTCACATGCCGTTGAGTAACTCGTGGAGGCGGGGTTTATGAGCTATACTGGGCCCAGCCACCGGGGGGCGATCGAGGCGCCTAGGCTGCAGTTTTCAGGGCTTGTCAGTCTCTCTGCTCCGCGGTGTGTGTTTCACTGCGCGAGAACATGTGGCGTGTGAGAGGCGGGGCTTGTCGGACATAGCAACAGTAACTGAAGGGGGCGTGTCTACGAGCGGTCGACAGACGCAGCACTGGACTCACCCAGCCGTTGTTGCTCCGCAGCCAGTGGTGCTGTTCTGAGATCAGGTATGAGGAGATCTGCTGCGCCACGGCCTCCACACACTCCTCGCGCTGGCACTCCTTGAGGCGGGAACACACCACGGCCCCGAACGCCACCAGGCTCGTGACGCGGCCCCAGTTCGTGCTGCCGTCGCTGAACATGCTCTTCGCTATCGAGCCGACGAAGTCCAGCGAGTCCTTCTGAGAGTCCATGTGGAGGCGCTGCAACATGCCTGAGGAGAGAGAGCAGCGTCAGCTACTGAACCCAGATCAGCTCATATACACACACTACTGAACCCAGATCAGCTCATATATACACTACTGAACCCAGATCAGTCATACACTACTGAACCCAGATCAGCTCATATACACACACTACTGAACCCAGATCAGCTCATATATACACTACTGAACCCAGATCAGCTCATACAACATGCCTGAGAGAGAGCAGCGTCAGCTACTGAACCCAGATCAGCTCATAGGAACTACTGAACCCAGATCAGCTCATAGGAACTGCTGAACCCAGATCAGCTCATAGGAACTACTGAACCCAGATCAGCTCATAGGAACTACTGACCCCAGATCAGCTGACAGAACTACTGAACCCAGATCAGCTGACAGAACTACTGAACCCAGATCAGCTGACAGAACTACTGAACCCAGATCAGCTCATAGGAACTACTGAACCCAGATCAGCTGACAGAACTACTGAACCCAGATCAGCTGACAGAACTACTGAACCCAGATCAGCTGACAGAACTACTGAACCCAGATCAGCTGACAGAACTACTGAACCCAGATCAGATGAATCTCTACTAATGCAGTTCTGGTGTACTGTAGTGTTTATTGCACTATTGCATGACGCTGATAAAGAATTCTTTCCCTTTGTTTTCTTTTTTGTTTAAAAAAATAAATCAAAATGGTACACAAATGCCAATCAAATCATAAGTAATCTAAAAAGTAATCAGAACACATTACCTAAAGTGAAATGTAATCTACTACCCACAATGTCAATTAATTTCATTCCTAACAATAGTTTTAGTCACATAATTTGCAATCAGTAATAGATAAGTTTGCATAATACACATGTTTGCGATAATGCCGATATGATAGAGAATTGCGCTGGCCCCGCCCCCTTTTGACTGACAGCACATAACCGGCTCTGCTTTAAACTGCCGAGTTCACGTATCGCACATTTCTAAAGCAATGCGTTAAAATGGTTCCACTTTGCACTTCTGAGATGGTGTCAGTGTTTGTGAAACCCTCCTCCCCCACCACACACACACACACACACACACACACAGCTGAAGATAAGCGGAACTCCGGCAGTTCCGAGAAGCGCTGACGAGCTCGCGGTTTGCCAGATAAAGCTACCGAGAAAAACCCCACCGACAAACAGGAACTCTTTATTTGCGTTCACTTAACTATAAATAAGTACACAAAATAAAACGAAATAACATCGACTTAAGTGACAACTTATCACTATCAGAAACGACACAAATAAACTGAATAGAAGTAAAATGGCTTATTATAATTAGTCTATAAACCGACATCACGTGACTTGTTTACTCTGAAATCAGACATCTTAAAACTCATTTTAGGGTAATACTTATTTGAAATTGTATTCTACTGATGAGTTGATCTATGCTTTTTTTAAACGTGAATAAGTCAAATTACTATGAATAAGAATGCAAAAATAAAACGGACATTATCAGAAACAATGCAAATAAATAGAGATGCAACCACACAGAATATCACGTGACTTAGTCAAACAGGCGTACCGGGAGCGCGCATGCGCGCGTCTTACCTTTGTATACGATCTGGTGCTTCTCGAGAATCTCCCCGACGACGCGCCTCATTGTCGGCAGCGCGCTGTTGTGGTTCTGCTCGGGTGAACACATTCCGTGTGTGTGCGATAGAAGTCCAGCAGGAGCTGTCGAGTATCACGGTCCAGTTCTGCGGACCCGAGCTCGGCTGAGTCCGGAGTGGACGGGAGAGAGCCGTCGGTCGCGGACACGAAGCGCCCGTCGAGCTGGAGGCCTTTTGTTCCGTTCGTTCCCGGCCTCACCGGCTTTAACGCGGAGTCCATCTCATCCGCGCACCCGTCCAGCTCGTCCTCGTTGCGCGTTTTCAGCGAGGGCACGAGCGTCGTATGCGCGCCCTGTGCGAAGAAACTCATCGCGGTCGCTCGCCTGATTCCTAATGTCAGAGTCATAATTACGCTTACAAACAGAAAAACTTAAATAAGATTGAAGTTTAAAGGGTGAAGGTTAAGCTTGGACGATGACGACGGTTATAGTGCTCGTGACGGTCGACACTCTTGTGTGAGTGAAGCGGAAGTAGAGGGAACAAGGATGGCTTTTATACTCTGCGTCATGACGTGTTTCTTCTTTCATATCCTTTTAACCCCGCCCCTAATGTCCATATATGGTCTTCCTCTAGAACTTCCTAGGAAATTCTTAATGTTCTTTTCACATAACTGACTGAATGGAATATTTCACCTAAAGGTCAGAAATGTTTTATAAACCACGTTGTATTCGAAATGTTGTTGGATGACAGTGTACATATATATTTTGTATAAGTTATTATTAATTTAATGTTGATTCTGGGTGAATTCTTTATATAACTTCAGCTCAGATTAGTGAAATACATACAGGTAATGCAAAGTAATTCAGTCAAATCATGGAGGAGCTGGAGCGGCGAGGAGATCAGGCGTGTGTGAAGCTGAACCCGACACGAGTGACCCTTTGCCCTCTGACTCACGCCAGCTTTACACTCAACACTAGCTCTATACACACACACACACACACACACAACTGGGCACTGCATATGGAGTCTTTATATCTTACTGAATAGATATGATTACTTTCTGTCAAGTATTTTCAATTAAAAAAAGCTCAATGTTGCTGTCACTAGAGACCTCTGGTGGATATTGGCCTTCTATGATTATATATGACAATAGACTTGTAAATATATGTTTGAATTATTGATATTCATGTGAGCTCAGAGCACAGGCTAAACTTTACATTTTAAAAACTACCATAAAAAATCTTCACTCCAATATTTTTTACATAACATTTCACTCTCTCGTACTCTAATATAAAACACACTCTCTGATGTCACTGCATATCATTACACTTTCTGATGTTCTTTGTTTAGCTAAAAAAATAATTGTAATCTTTATAGTTGTTTCTCGAGGCTAAATGAAGATATGTCTCAGCCAAATCTAAACAATGTGTTAGTTATGGTTATCATATTTAATATTATCCTCTAGAATGGAGACTCTGGGTCTCGGTCATACACATTAACTTTCGTCAGGTCATATACAAGGACACACACATACTCATATTCATAAGGATATGTATCGACACTGCATTAATCTAATTACCATATTTCTAAGATTCTATAAATATAATTAAATGCCAAACATATTACATTTCTTCCACATTATGCTCTTAAATGATTGTACACTTTATGTGTTTATCTGTCATGCAAAACAAAAGGTTATTTAAACTTTAAAGTGTTTATGGATCATGCAGTGTTTATCGCACCTTTCATTTTTGCAGATTTAATCAAAAACACGCATTACCGCAATTTATTATTATTATTATCATCTTTTATAATCTAACCATCATGAAAATAATGCCACAATCCTACATAACAGTGTAATTATACATCAGTCACAGAGTATAACATAAAATACTTCAAAATCTCTTTTCCTCCAGAAGATATGAAGTTATTAAAGTTTATATTTATTTAATATTTATACAGGATTCTTTGATGAATAGAAAGTTCAAAAGAACGGCGTTTATTTGAAATAGAATCTTTTGTAACATTATAAGTGTCTTTACTGTCACTTTTGGTCAATTTAATGCGTCTTTGGTTACTGACCCCAAACTGTGCTAGTGACGTCCGCTCGCGTCAGGCGTATAAAACACACGTTACTCTCGACTGGACTGGGACGCGCCCTGCTCCTTTCGTCATATCTCTCTCTCTCTCTCTCTCTCACTCTCTCTCTATCACACACACACACACACACACACACACACTCACTCTCTCTCTCTCTCTCTCTCTCTCTCTCTCTCTCTCTCTCTCTCTCTCTCTCTCTCTCTCTATCACACACACACACACTCACTCTCTCTCTCTCTCTCTCTCTCTCTCTATCACACACACACACACACTCTCTCTCTCTCTCTCTCTCTCTCTCTCTCTCTCTCTCTCTCTCTCTCTCTCTCTCTTAGGTTTGATCTGCATCTTCAGTGTCTGGATCTCCTCTAGAGGTTCCGATCCCTCAACTACCCGAGATTAAACGCCACGACTCGCCTCAGTGTGTGTGTGTGTGTGTGTGTGTGTGTGTGTTTCTCCGGCCAGTTTGCTGGCGAGGGCGCTGGGTTCCCTCTGAGGAAGATCCTGTGGTTTGGGAATATGGTCTCCGGTCCCCAGCTTGTCTTCAGGACCGGTTGCCAGCACGAGTTTGCTCTTCATCTTGGCTTTTGCCACGTTATAATCGCCCGAGTCAAAGTACTTCTGCTACAAGAGGAGAGATTTACACGCATTATTTAGATTGTAGTGGGTTAGTAGTTCACTCAAAAATGAGAATGATCCCTTGATTCACTGCTGGCTCCACTCACTCCTCTTCATCAGAAAGCCAGAACCGCCGGTTTTGTCCCAGATTTGGATATTTTGCCTTGAGGTTTGCCTCTTTGGACAGTATTGGGTTACAGATCTTTTCCAGAGAATCCTGCAAATACACATTTATTTTTTAGACATTTCATTATATTTATTTGATATTTTACAGTTAATATCGCTTTAAAATTACGATATTTTCCCGTGAAACTGATTTTAAACTATCTGTATTGTATAAAGCAGTCTTGTTAAAAGCGCTATAGTCTTGATATACTCTTTACATTTGACAAGCGGAGAATATGTATACAACATGTGTTCTGTATTATCTCTTTTTTTCAGTACCGAATTATAAGTATGCTATGGACTAACAAAATGACAACAAACACCGACCAATAGGAGTCCATCTATGTGACTGATGGACTGATCGACCAATCAGAGCGAGGATATGCTCGCAGAGTGGGCGTGACCTCGGCGAGGATCCGTTAAGTCACGATTTCTTTTTATTCCTGTCTTAACGACAGTAAATACCCGTTAAAGCCGCGGGTCGGTTTTAAATGACTGGTTATGTGTGTTTGTGTTGCTTCATTGACGATCGCAGTGGCGGTACCTGCTTCTCTTTCGGACCCCGCTGCAGAGAGTCCGGGCCCGGGTTTAGCGACATGATTCCCCGCGGCAGAAACACTGGAAATAAAACCGGTCTTCCGTCAATAACTAATAATAATATACTAATGTCAAAGAGCAGCAGGCGCGATATATACTTCTTCTTCTTCTGTTGTTTAAATGGCGGCTGCCAAACCATCTAAAAGCTGCATGTGCGCCTCTGCTGGATCGGAGGATGAAGCGCTACTCGGTTGAAAACACTTGGTTGAGAGAAAAAAAAAAAAAAATGTACCAGTCCTGTATCATTTAAAAAAAAAAAAAAAAATCTAATTCCTCATGTATTATATATTTTGTTCCTTCTCCTACTATTTCCTTAAGTGAATAATTGCTAACACCCCTATCCTTTAGTGACTGAACTAATTTAAGTCTTTCTCTTTTGTATGCTGTATCCTAGTAATATATGATTTACTGTTTCTGGATATCCACATTTATCGCAGTTACCGGTTTCATGTTTACCTATTTTATATAAACTTTGATTTAGTGCTGTATGCCCAATACGTAATCTTGGCATTCTCACATCCTTTTCTTGTTATTAACAGTTGTTCATCCCATTTTTTTTATTTTATTTACATATCTGTATCCTTTTTCTACCCACCATTAAGATGTAACATGTAAGATGTATAAAATATTTCAAAGTACCTGTCATTAATCTCAAGAAAGCATACGTTCACATGCAGTGAGTGTGGCCGCCGCGTGATGGCGCTGTTGCAGCGTTTGTCATTTTATTACTCAAAACCTTCTTTTATACAGTCTATGCTTAAAACATACGTAATGCTTGTAATGTGCATACAACATACATTTATCAAAATCCCAAAATGTAATAAAAAAAACATTGAATGCAGTATTCATCATACAGCAATATGTTTATAAATATATAGGCTATAGGCTACATTAAAAATATATATTATTATGTGTCTATAAACAAGGTCCAAGGCTTGAGGTAGCCGAAAGAAAGTGAAAATGACAACATTTATTCAAGAATCACCCATTTTTATGAAATTCGTAACCATAAAGCCCGATATCTTTGACAATGGCGTCACACAATGTTAATAAACTTGTTCGGTCACATTTTTTAAGTGTCTAATGAAAGCCTATGGTATTGATGTGGATCCTGAATCCGGGTGACAGAACAGGTGCGCTCGTTCCGTGTGCGTCGACAGTCCTGATTGGAGGAGAGGCGCTGGAGCTGCTCCTGATTGGCTGAGCGGCCAGAGGGGCGTGTCCACAGGTGAAGCGCACTCGGGCGAGCGCACAGGGAAGTGAACGCAGTCGCGAGACAGAAATCTTACATTGGACTGACATTGTGTTTTTGATGACAAACTAGCAGATGCGGTGAGTGTATGTATATGTAGCTTGTAAATGTAGCTTGTATATGTTAGAGACACTGATGCTGAAGTTGAACTGGTTTGCTAGAATCTCCCTGAAAGGATTTCATCATTATTCCTGTTAAAAAGGGAAATCTGAAGTATGTTAGTGCGTGATTTCCAGATTGAGTAAAGGTGTGTGTGTGTGTGTAGGTTGTGTTAGCAGGAGGAATGACCACGTTGACGAAGCGCACCCGGCGTGTGGAGACTCCAGCGGATGGAGGGAGTAACGCTGAGGAGAGGGAGGAGAAGAAGAGAGACGAGGAGGAAGAAGAGATCGACACCGACTCCAAATCACTGAGACTCACACTGATGGAGGAGATCCTGCTGCTGGGACTCAAGGATAAAGAGGTTACACACACACACACACACACACTAACCCGACTCCTAAACCTACCCATCACACACACTCACCCACACTAACCCGACATCTAAACCTACCCATCACACACACACACACACTCACACACTAACCCGACACCTAAACCTACCCATTACACACACACACACACACACACACTAACCCGACACCTAAACCTACCCATCACACACACTCACACACACACACACTAACCCGACTCCTAAACCTACCCATCACACACACACACACACACTAACCCGACATCTAAACCTACCCATCACACACACACACACACTCACACACTAACCCGACACCTAAACCTACCCATTACACACACACACACACACACACACTTACCCGACACCTAAACCTACCCATCACACACACACACACACACTAACCCGACACCTAAACCTACCCATCACACACACACACACACACACACACACACTAACCCGACACCTAAACCTACCCATCACACACACACACACACACACACTAACCCGACCCCTAAACCTACCCATCACACACACACACACACACTGGTGTCAGGCCTGTGGTCAGTGGAAACAGTATGGGTGGTGTTGAGTATTTCTGTAGTTATTCTGGAATAGTCCGGTTGAACCGGTTCTGTGCAAACTCTGAGGTGATGTTCACTGAAGGTTGGTGCTCTTGTACGGTTTGCGGCCCTGAAGAAATGAAGCCATCGCAAAAACGCCTCGTGGCGGCCATGTTACTTTGCGCCATAACCAAATTATGTATTTTGTATCATATCTACTGAACCCAACACAGAAAATGTGATGTCACCCCTATGCTTCGACGGTCAGGGATTCTCACGCGACACCTGGACTGATATAGACTCTTCAGAACGTCCACAGAACCTGTGCGGCGGGAGCTTCACGGAGTGGGTTTACACTTCTCTGTCTGTCAGTCACACACACACACACACTCTCTGTCAGTCACACACACACACACACACACACACACTCTCTGTCAGTCACACACACACACACACACACACACACACACACTCTCTCTCTGTCTGTCAGTCACACACACACACACACACTCTCTCTGTCAGTCACACACACACACACACACACACTCTCTCTGTCAGTCACACACACACACACACACACTCTCTCTCTCTGTCTGATGGGAGAGGCGGGTTCGGCGGGCGAGAGAGCGCCTCCTGCTGGAGGGGGGACAGTGGTGCGGGGCTGTTTCTCAGGGGAGATCTCATCAACACCGGCGTCTGCCCAGTTTATACTCCTGTCCTCAGTGCAGAGACACGGCTGGAGGAGTGTGTGTGGAGGAACCGGCCCGTCCCACAGCCTGGGGATCAACTGAAGATTCACACACACACACGAAAGGGGGATTATGTATTTAGAATGGATGGATAGATATTGTTTCTGCTCTGAACTGCAGGCGTGTCTGTCTATTCTTGTGTAAAGCCTCTGAGCAAACTTCCTTGTCACTTGGTTAATATTAAACTTCCTGTGTGTGTGTGTGTGTGTGTGTGTGTGTGTGTGTGTGTGTGTGTGTGTGTGTGTGTGTGTGTGTGTGTGTGTGTGTGTGTGTGTGTGTGTGTGTGTGTGTGTGTGAGACGGAGAGAGAGAGAGAGAGATGTGTATGTTGACAGATCTGAAGAGTTAATACTCTTCTGAGAAACACTATCTGAAGGCAGATCTTCATAGTTCATCTGACCAAATGTCATCCGTGTTCATTGGCCATCTGATGTTCTGCCGGAGAGCGCGTGTGATCCTGTAGTGTTGACTTTCACTAGCTTCCTTCGTTTAATCATTCACTGAACCAGCTGTTTTATTCACAAACTGCTTGTGTTAGAATGTTGCAGCTGCTTTACGTTGTTATACGCTTTATTTACACAATAAAAATGGTTGCTACTAAATGAAAGTGGAAAAGCTAAGCTCAAATCACAACACATTAGGACAAAACATCTGGAAATTTTCTCTCTCTCTCTGTAAGTTTTATATCTTCTGATGAATTTGTTTAATAGTTGTGTTGTTGATCTGTGTGTGTGTGTGTGTGCGCAGGGCTACACGTCCTTCTGGAACGACAGCATCTCGTCGGGTCTGCGCGGGTGTATTCTGGTGGAGCTAACGCTACGAGGACGAGTTCATCTGGAGCCGCCGAGCTCACGTCGCAGGAAACTGCTGGACCGCAGGGTGAGCGCATACACACTGATGCATTCTGGGTGTTAACACGATTAGCATATCGTTAGCATGATGCTAACATGATTAATATTTTGCAATCATGCTTTTAACGAAATGATTAATATGTTGTTAGCATGATTCTGACATAATTAGCATGTTGCGAGTATGATGTTAACACAATTGGCATGTTGCTTGCATGATGCTAACATGATTAGCAAGCTGTTAGCATGATGTTAACACGATTAGCATGTTATTAGCATTATGTTAACACAATTAGCATGATGATAACACAATTAACATGTTGTTAGCATGTTTTTAACAAGATAACATGATTAGCATGTTGTTAGCATTTTTTAACATGGTGTTAACACAATTAACATGTTAGCATTTTTTAACATTATGACAACACGATTAGCATGTTGCTTGCATGATGTTAACATGATTACCATGCTGTTAGCATGATGCTAGCACATTTTGACTTTTTTTATCATGTTTTTTAACCCTAAGCTAATTGCTATTAGCATGTAGCTATTCATTGTTAGCATGTGTAGTATGTTGGAACTCCTGTTTGCTAGCATGAGTCAAAAGATCCAAACCCCATCTGTAAATGTTTTAGTTTCAGTGTGAAACTCGTTTGCCTCAAACTAATGACTGCTAATTATAGTTTAGGTTCAGGGATGTAGAATATGAATATGATCATGCAGAATAAGGCATTAATATGTGCTTTATAAGTACTAATAAACAGCCAATATCTTAGTAATATACATGAGAATGAGCAACTAGTTAATAGTGAGAATTGAATCCTAAAATAAAGTGTTAACAAGATTTGTTAATGTTTCTGAAAGAGACTCTTCTGCTTCTATTTGATTTGCAAACACACACCTGAACACACCTTACCTCTGAATGCAAACGGGTGTGTGTGAGGATTCCTCTATAATCTCTGAGTGTGTGTGATGACACCTGACCGGCTCGACCGGCTCGTTTACGCCCACAGAGGAAAGCTCTCGGCTGAGGATTTAAACACATTTCCTTATTTACTTTCCATCATATGAGACGGCAGTTTTACTCAGGAATTTCATTCGTGGGCATTTTTTAAAAATAACAAAATTCTAGATTTTCTATCAAATATGTAATTACTAAATATTTTGATTGCCATAAAAAAAAAAGTAACTCTACATACGTTTATTAATTAATTAAAGTTTTATTATTATTTATTGTAATTAGACATGAAAATAGCTTTTGTTATGGATATGGTGTTCAATAATAAATATTAAATAAATAAATAAATTCCCCAGGCGGAGTGCTTTTGGTCTCCACCAGAGGGCACTCCTCCACATCTACATGGACTACATTTCCCAGAATGCACTGTCCAGACGCATCATGTGTGTGTGTGTGTCTTGCAGGTGTTGTTCAAGTCGGCGGCTCCCACCGGTGATGTTCTTCTGGATGAAGCGCTGAAACACATCAAGAACACAGAACCACCAGAGGACGTGTCCAGCTGGATCGAGCTGCTCACAGGTGACACACACACACACACACTCACAAATATACACACACACACACACACACTCACAAATATACACACACACACACACATACACACACACACACACTCACACATATATACACACACACTCATATACACACACACTCACACATTCACACACACACACACACACACACGCACACATACACACATACACATGCACTCACACATATACTCTCACACACACACACACTCATATTCACACGCACTCACTCTCACACACACACACAC